TGTCAACCTTTCAGCTCTAAAAATACTAAATAAACTCGTAATGTAAAGTGGTTTATTATTGTACGACTTGAACACAAGCCTAATAAATGCAGATGGAAGGAAGGGCGGCGAGAAGGGCTGCCAAAATGTTGCATAAAAAGTGGATTCGCGCTCTGACTATTAATCTTCATCGCGATTATTCCAATTCTCTTACTTCGGTAAAAGTAGGCGAACTCTTCTTAGAGTTAAACTCCTAAGAACCTTATTCAAGTTAAGAAAGAGAAAGAACATTTTGCCGTCGCTTGCTTACGTACTCTACAAAACGTTAAATTTAGCATTTTGACGTCGTAGTCGTGCAGTGAAGGCAAAGAAATGTACAAAAAAACGTGATGCACGTGCAGAGTTGTTATTTTGCTAATCACTGAACCTATTGTTTTGTTTTATGTTCTTGTTGCCATCGACTTCGTCGGATCCTACCTGATGTGCGAGAAAAAGAAGATTCGTTGAAAATTTGCTTAAATTTGCATGTTTACACAGGGCAAAACCTGGACTTAAATCTGGCAGTAAAAATGGCTTTAGCGATGGCTTCAGCATTAGTAGTTTGAAATTTTTGCAGGACCAATTAGCAGTTTCTGATGGAACAATTTTTGTGGTTTACAAGATGCTTTTCATTTGTACATGCTGTTCTTTTGGCAGGCAAATAAAGTGTGGAGCAGCGAAGAAGAATGTCCTCAGCATTCGTTTTTTATGGGCAAGAAGCCGAAGCAACAGCAGGGGCCTGCGGCACACACCGCAAACCAGAACAAGGTGAAGTATTACCCAAGAGTCACGGCCTTAGGAATTTTTAAAAGTTAATAACATTTTTTTTGGGGGGGGGGGGGGGGGGGAATAAGATCCACAAATATTGAAAAAGGTGTCGTGAATTACATAGGTTAGGAATACGATTATGATAAAATCCCCCCTCCCCCATAAAATGAGAAAGCTTTAAACGAATGTATTGCTTTTGCCTATTTCAAGAATTCTAAATTAGGAATTTACGCCTTCTTTTCAGGTGCAGCTTCGTGGAGAAATCCTAAGACAGTTACGGGAACTGAAAGATTTAAAGGATGCTGATGTCTTGGACTCCACACAATTTGAGAATCAGAAGCGCATCCTGTTAACGGAGCTCAATGGGCTCCAGTAAACAGGCACAATCCTGCGCTTCATTACATTGTTTTGTTATAGTGTAAAATCAATAATTCTGACAACGATTGCTAAAATTAAAACCAAATTTATGTCGGGAAAGTTAAAACACACAAGAGAACACACTTTTGTTTTTGTGGGCGTAATAATCATGAATAATAAAAATCGTGAAATTACGTGAAAAAACTCGGCTTTTATTTCTTGGTCTGTCAAACACAAGAGTTAAATGTCAATCGTTCACAGCCTGGCCTAAATCTTGCCACTTTAATCAGGGAGGGTTAATATACATACTGGCTTGTCGTCGCCGTTGGGCCACTGAGGCAAGAGGGCGGGACCCGCTTAAGTACAAATTAAGCACGGCAGGCCTAAAACATAGGTACTAGTGGGCTAACAGGTCAGTTTGAGGGCTGTTTGACTAATTACGTCCCTGTAGAGTGCATGTTAGTTTACAGATATTCAGAGTGTCGAATGTAGTTTCGCACTTGCTCGTCGAAAACGCTTAAAAATCCCTCCATGACCATGTTTTCGGGTTGATCACACATTCGCCATTCTTGATCATTTTCTCTGATCCACGACTTCACTTGCGAAATTATTCCCTCACACGGCATGAAGTCGGGGCTGTATGGAGGGAGGTAGACGAGTAGAGCACCAGTGGCGTTTATTGCCCTCACAACGTCGGCAGTATGGTGAATCGCAGCATTATCTGTTTTCAAAATAATAACAGAAAGGAAAAGGTTAATAACTCAACTTTTGTTTTCCGAGATCGTTCTACCAAAATTACAGCTAACGCCTGTTTAACGTTCATCTTCCACTTGCTATTGAACAGTGTATTGACCTTGGTATCTCTGTAATGATTCTTAAGTGGACTGGCTGCTTTTGTGAGATAATAATCACTATATAAAAGTAAAAAGAATGGTAAGGTATCAGTCTGCATGGTTAATTGAGCCTATACATCTTTTTCCAAAGAACAATGAACTTACCCATTACAACGATCGAGCGCGGATTGATCCCGTTAAAAGGATTGACATTAGGGGCCAAGTGGTCATGAACAAAATCCAAGAAGACATCACTGTTAACATTTCCGCGATAGATCCCTACATCAAGGAGGCCTTCTGTTGAAGCGATGGGAATGGCTGAAATGCGTGGACCCCAATTAGCATGTGGCCGTACTACCTCCGCCCGCATTCCGCGAAAACTTCGGCCGTACTTTCTGCTGATCCGCTTGTCCTATGAATAACCAAAATAACCCAAACATGCCTTATTCATCAACGTTACGCATTGGGAAAGCGATTTTCAGGGTTTCGTTATGTTACAGAAATGCAAGTCAAATGGACCTTCT